CTCTGCCTCCCAAGTGCTGGGATTAAAGGCGTGCGCCACCACTGCCGGGCTTTCTTTTTATTTTTTTTTTTTTGATTTATGGAATTTAAAGGATACATTTTAAAAAAATTTTAAAGATTGGGTTTGGTCACCATGTGCTAGACCATACATAAGTATTGAAATGCTATACTGAACCCCACTGATATATTATGCATATAAAATATGTACAATCAATAAATATTAATATACTAATATAATTAAGGTAAGTTTAAAAAGTTGGGAGGTACTAGGGGAGTGTTACTTGATAATATAAGCTCTGGTCATAAGAAATTATACATATTTGCTTGGAATTCACCTATGGATTCTAAAACCTGACTCTTCAAGCCAGTATCTCTATGAATTGGTTTTCGACTGTTTGCTGTTTCTTTCCTGCTCAACCCTTCCTAGGTCAGCCTGGGTTCTCCTCTGCAAGAACACAGGCAACACCTGTCCCACTGAGAACTTGACTTCTGTGGTGGTTTGAAGAATGGGCCCTACAGGCTCATCTATTTGAATGCTTAGTCATCAGGGAGTCCCGCTATTTGAGAAGGAATAGAAGGATTGTGTGGTGTGGCCTTGTGGGAGGAAGCTTGTCCAAGATTGAGCTTTGAGGTTTCAAAAGGCCACAGCAGGCAAGCATCTCTCTCTCCCCCTCCTCTCTTTTTTCTTCCTTCCCCCTTTTCCTGTCTCCCCTCTCTCTTCTCTCCTCTTCCCTGTCTGTCTCTCTCTTTCACACACACGTATACACACACACACACACACACACTCACACCTCCTCCTGCCCCCCTACCTCTTTCCCTATCTCAATTGCTCTCGCTCTGCTCTGCTATCGGATCAGGATGTAGGTCTCAGCTACTGCTCCAAACACCCACATGACAGCCCATAATCATCTGCACCGCTAGTTACAGGGGATCAGATGCCCTCTTCTGGCCTCCATGGGAACTGCATGCAGGTGGTACACACAAACACAAACACACACACACACACACTCAGGCAAAATACTCCTAAACTTAAAAAAACATATTAATCACCATGCTTCACTTGATGTCATGAGCCCTGCCCAGCAATTAGACATAGGATTAAGTGTGTTCTTCCTGAGCAAACAAGAATCCATGGTGCTCTGGCCATGACCTCTGGCTCTTAAGGAAGTTAGCAATCTAGGAAGGCAAACACTAGGCTGCATAGGAATAAGGCAGGTAGGTGCATGGAATGGCAAGTCCTCCAGATCTGAAAATCACTTCTCTGTCCTGGGAGGATTTAGAATTAGAGACATACTTGAGAGTACCCACCCTGTAGTTTTCTTTTGATGTGAAAGTGTCTGTTCATATTTGGCATCCTAGATGCTTGCTATACATAAGAGAATGTGGCCATTTGGAGCAATAGGCTGGCCCACTGACTCTAATTTAAAATACAAAGTTGAACAATTGAATTAGATGTGCTATTTTAAGTTAACCTTCTTACCAGGTTTAAGTGCATAAGAGAACATAGGCTTCGACATATTTATGCTTTAGTTCATTAGATTTTATAAGAGTTATTTAAACACATGGGGATAGCTTATTTGTTAAGTCAGATAACTGAAGCAAAAAAAAGGAAATTCAATACTTAATATATTAAATTTAAATATCCAGTGTAACTATGCTGAGAGTAATCTAATTTACAGAGAAGACTAGCCATTTTTCATAGATTTGCTAGTGTCGAATTGTACTAAACAGAATAATATAATTAGAATTATAAATTTGAAAATTCAAAAATAGCTTTCGGCTGGATATGGTGGTTTATGCCTGTAATCTCAACACTCCAGAGATTACGTCTAGAGTTTCAGTGCTCCAGTTTCAGGCTGGCCCCTGCTACAACATGAGATTTTGTCTCAAGAGACAAGAGGTATTTTGTTCTTTTGTTTTAGCTTAAACATATTACAGATTAGTTATCAAACTATGTATTGGGTTGGTCTGATGCTGCTTGTATTCAATGCTAACCTCTCTACTCCAAGTTCTTCTACCTACTTTCTATGCTAGTTTGTCTATTTCCTTGTTAATAACCCTGTGATGTCACTTCTGTTGTTCCTCTTGGGCCACTCCTACTCTGACAGGCTGGCCTTCATGGCTACATGCTCTCCATCCACTTACCCCATAGTGACTCCTTTCTTTTCCTCCCCTCTCTTCTCCCTCCTCATGGTCCCTGCCGCAGACCCCAAGCCTGGGTACCGTACCTAAGTCCCGCCTACCTCTCTTCTACACAGATACAGGATGTAGGCATCTCTATTAACCAATCATGGATAGCTTTGGGGGGGCAAGGTTTACACAACAAAAGCTGCCATACAAGGATATATGGATCTAGTTTTGCCTTTCAGCATGCAGACATCCAGTTTTATCAATTTTCTCAAAGGATTTAAGAGCCTCTATTTTCTCCTAAGTCAACCATTAAGTGATTTAAGCTATGTGCATTTATTTCAGAATCTTCCATTCTATTGCACTGGTTGATGTGTCTGTTTCTGTGCCAGCACCCTGCTGGGGTTTTGATTTTTTTCATTGCTGTTGTTGTTGTTGTTGTTGTTTTATGGCTCTATGATACACTTTGAGATGAGGTATGGTATTGTGTTACCATTAGTACTGCTTATTCTGAAAGAGAGTTATTTTAGTTCTTTTGGGTCTTTGGCACTTCAATATAAATTTTGTTTTTGTTTTATTTTTAGTTCTATGATGATCCATTTTGATTTAGAGGTTACTTCTTCATTGATTATTGTTGGTAATAGAAATTATTTTTTTGCCATCAAGTCACCTTGTTGAATTCAGTCTTCAAGTTGGATGACTTTCTAGCAGATGTTTTAAAATTATGATTGTATCACTCTCAAATACTTTTATTTGGGTGTTTTATTTCTTTTTGGTAGTTTTATTTCTTTTGTTTCAGTTTTCCCCCTTTCCTCCTTTCCTCCCTTCCTCCCTTGCTTCCTTCCTATCTTTTCTTTTGTATGAGCACTGACTGATTCTGTTTTAATTTGGGTACCCTGGGAAGCACCTCTGAGCTGGAGATCAGCCTCCAAGAGGTGTTTAACAAATGTTCTAGAGTTCATAAGGGGAGGTAGTAAGAAAGCAAGACTGAGACGTTAAGCCAGGGCTCAACCTTAGCAGAGAGCACACCCAATTCCACAGTTCAAGCAGGGAACTCTTCAGATATGTCCATCTTGAGGCAAATGGGCTAGACCTTTGTCCTCCAGCCTTGATCTGTCATTAGACCTCCCTGGACATGACTCTGACTTAGCTGTCCTCTTTAGCCAAGGCAATCCCCACAGAGTCTGACTGTTCTGGGCTGTCTGCCAGTAGCACTCCAAAGAGCAGGGGACACGTCCTTCCTTCCTGAGCAGAGATCTGGGCCAAGAACCCAAGCCTGTTCTAATTTGCTTTCTTTTGTTACGATAAAACACTATGGCCGGGCAGTGGTGGCACAGGCCTTTAATCCTAGCACTTGGGAGGCAGAGGCAGGCGGATTTCTGAGTTTGAGGCCAGCCTGGTCTACAGAGTGAGCTCCAGGACAGCCAGGGCTACACAGAGAAACCCTGTCTCGAAAAACCAAACCAAACCAAAAAACAAAAAACAAAACAAAACAAAAACAAAAACAAAAAAAACCCACTATGACCAAAAGCAATTTTAGAATGGAAGGGTTTATTTGATTCACACCCTTAGGTCACAGTTCATCATTTAGGGACACTGAGGCGGGAACACAAGACAGGAATGAAAAGCAGATCTGCTTGCTGTTTCCTGAGGCATTACATCCAGTCAGGGAACTCACTCACAGCCAAGAAAGTACAGCAGAAACCACAGAGGAACACTGCTTGCTGGCTGGCTCATGACCAGCTAGCCTCCTTATAGATTCAAGAAGCACCTGCCCAGGGAATGGTACCACCCACAGTGGACAGGGCACTTTTACATTAATTAAAAATCGAAACATTTCCTCACAGACCAATAAAAATAATCACTCAATCTAGACACCTTTTCCCCAGGGAATATTAGACTGGGACAAGTTGAGTACATTAACTGTAGCAATTCCATGCTCGCTTTTGTAGGATAAATACTAAAATTGTAACAATACAGAGTAGATTGGTATAGCCCCCTAGGCAAGGATGATAGTCTAACTTATGAAATCTTTCATAGTTTTATACCTTTAAACTAAGGTTACTCTCAACCCTAATCAGAAAATCTATATTCATAAAATGAGAGTGAATACAGAGAAGACTCGTGACTGCCCAAGATACTGAGAATAAGTGATAGACAAGGGTTAAGCCTTAAACAAGACATTTACATCATACCTTCTAAGGCGCAGCCATCTCTCTAGCCCCAGTACCCTACTTGACAACACACTCCACTGTCCAGTGTAGTTTCCTTGTGATTACCCAGCTGTCTGGGAGTTGTGGTGTGTGTGCATGTGTGTATATATGTGTGTGTGCTTGCACTTGCACACTTTTGTGTGTATGTGGATGCATGCCTCAGGCAGGTGCTGAGGTCAGACAAGGGCATCAGGAGTCTGCTCTGTCACTCTGCAGCTAATTCCCCTAAGACAGTCTCTTACCAAAACTGGAGCTAGGCTGGCAGCCAGCAACCCACAGTGGTCTCCTGTCTCTTCCCTACACCTCCAGCACAGGGGTTACAGAGCCCACATCATGCCCGGCTCTTAACATGGATTCTGGGAATCTGAACTCAGGTTCTCATGCTTGCTGAGCCCGTCTTCCCAGCCCTGACACTGTGAATTCTAAAGATGCAAATCATGAGATTAAAAAAAAATGAATGTCTCAGAATTCAGTGTTCATAAATATGAAGCAAAATTCTACTTCTTCCTGCTTCTGCGTTGAAACTTGCAAAACATTTCTGTCATAGGACCATGTGCATAGACAAATATGCAGTAGAATGAACTGTCACCATCTCAATGAGTAGAACAAGGAGAATTTCACAGGACTCAGAACATCCCTCTATGGATATAAACCCATAGCACAATTCAGGGCAAGCAATTCTGTAAGGGGAACAGATTCAAGTCTACAACTTAGATAGTGATTGTTGACTGAAATGACCAAACTTTTTCCATAAGTGAGAAGAGTTCTCAACCTATCCTCAAGATTTCACTTAAGGGACCAATTTTAGGGCAAACAGGTCCAATGAGAAAGAAAGAACGAGTGCTACTTACAAGTCACAAAGTTGCTTTCTCTGAGCTGTCTAGCATGGTAGTATGAGGTCATTTTCTGCTGCTATAACAAAATGCCCCAGGCTGGGACATTTTGGTGGTGAATAAAGAAAAGAGGTTTCTGTAGCTCACAGTCCTGGAGATTCAAGGGTGTGGTACTGGCATCAGCCAGGCTCTTTTGAGGATGATACCATGGAGGAAAGGACAAGATACAGGAAGATTGCATGGTGAGACAGGAAGCCAGAGAGTGAGGATGGCAAGTCTTTCCATTTTATAAGAATTCTTTCATAATAACTAACCAGCATCCCATGAACCTTCATTTCTTTCAGCATCTCTAATGACCCAATGGGCCTACTGAGTCCACTCTGCAAAGGCCCTACCAGCTTTGAATATCACCATGCAAGGGTCCCAATCCTTCAACACATGAACACATCCAGCCCTCAGCAAGTGTCCATTTACATGGAAAGCGCATGCCGTTAGCCAACTATTCAGTTCCTAGCTTAGTTCAGGCCTCACCAGTGAGCACTGGGATTACTGAGGTCACTACATCCACCATGCTTTTATGTAGGTTCTGGGGATCCAAATTCTGGTCCTTGTAGTATCGTGACAAGCGCTTATTTCTTGAGTCATCTCCCAGCTCAGCACCATCTCTTAAAGTATTTCTTTGGAGTTGCATGGTCCACGAGGCTGGACATGGTGACATACAACATAATCCCAGCACCTGAGCTCAGGCTAGCAGTTTAGTGGGTGTTTGGGGCTAGTCTTTTCTTTACTTTTTTTCTTTTTTCTTTCTTTCTTTTTTTTTTTGTTTGTTTGTTTTTCAAGACAGGGTTTCTCTGTGTAGCCCTGGTTGTCCTGGAACTCACTCTGTAGACCAGGCTGGCCTCGAACTCAGAGATCCACCTGCCTCTGCCTCCCAAGTGCTGGGATTAAAGACATGCGCCACCACCGCCTGGCAGGGGCTACTCTTTCTACCATATCGAGTCTCTGTATCACTATACAACATCAAAAGTGATCACATGCCTTCCTCTATAACAGTGACTCTTACCTATGGGTCATGATCCCTCTGGGGGAGTCATATGATCCTTTTACAGGGGTCCCATACCAGATATCCCATGTACCAGATTTATACATTACGACTCATAACAGTGGCAAAATCACAGTTATGAAGTGGCAACAAAATAATTTTATGGTTGGGGTCACCACAACATGAAGAGCTGTACTAAAGGGTTGTGGGATTAGGAAGGTTGAGACCACTGGTCTATAGCATCTGGCTGATGTTTAGGTTGTTCCAAGTGTTAAGTGATCCATAGGTGACTGATACCTCTCTTTTTCTGTAAGTTTAGCATAAGTGAAAGCCCGTTTCTTGTTTTGCTTTCTGCAGGTCTCATTCCTCATCACCCATGTTTATGGTGACATTAGGGCCACTCCATGTTTGCTTCTGTCTCTGCTGGTTTATTTCACCCCATCTAAGAACTTCAAATAAAATACAATCTGATTTGATTTCTCCATCTTGAACAAGTCTCTGTGATTTGTCAGGAGCTAGTGTAAGAAACATCATAGACCAAGAAGGCCAGAGTGACAAAGGCCCTGAGTGGCACCTGTTTGGTGATAGTTTAGTATAAACTATCCAGGAATCTTTGAATAGATGGTCCACTGACTCCCTTTCTGGAACCATCTTCTGAGTGGTAAGGAGTCTGGCTTGTTCATTGGCCCAGTCTCCAATTTCTGCTCTTTTCACTCTAAATCATTCATAACTCATGTTGTGGGATAATCCTATAATTCCAGCATCCAGGAAGCCAACCAGGAGAATAGGAGTTCAGGACCAGCTTCCAACACATGAGTTCCAGGCTAATCTGGTTTCATAAAACTGTCTCAAAAAAACAAAACAGTAATAACGCTAGCAGCAACAAGCAAGCATTCTTAAATGTTATCAATAGCTTGAGACAAAAGGAAAAGGCCATTTTCTGTACATGGATCACACATGCTGGGAAATTCATCAAGATTATTGCTTGACTCACAGCTCTAGAGACTGGGAAGTCCAAAGATGTGACATTAGCATCTGCTGAGGACCTTCTTGTGGGTGCTTCTCTCTACTGAGTTTCACGATAGTGATGGCATCAAACATTCAGGAGACATATGGTCTTGTGGACTGAGAAACTGTCAGGTTCTTGGGCTCTCCAGTGTGAGGCAGCCATTGTTGGACTGTGTTTGTTATACAAGCCAATCTAACACCTCCCTTTCCACACACACCACCAGCTGTATTCCTCTGAAGAGCATGACTAACACAGAGTCCTATGGCCACATCTAACTCGAGAGGGAGTGGGAGAAGTACCAGGATCCATGTGGAAAAGGAAGGAAGGAAGGAAGAAAGAGAGCGAGAGCGCAAGCGCGAGAGCAAGAGTCTGGAATTCATATGAGTTCCTACATGGATACATGGGACATTTCTCATATCTCTGCATTAGTTCATAGAGCTACAGGTGAGTATTCTTTGTTGCAACAAAGACACAGAGTTCAACACTGTTTCATTTCTAACCTTTCTAACTTTTGTTTTCCTTCACAGACAGAAGTTATGAGACTATGTGGCCACATGAAGAGGTGAGAATAGAAGTTACTTTATTACAGCATTTCCTTCAGAGGTGTAGCCTCAGGTAAGAGGTTCTGTGTATCTGTAGATAACTCTTCACACATGCTCATATAAACAACTGTAACTGTACTCATTGAGTCCCACAGAAAGTGGAAGGGGGCTTCACTGGGAATAAAAAAGGGACCATTGAAACTAGGATGAAGTAAGAGAGGGTAATGGATCATGAGTATGACCAGCATATATCCATGTCAAGATGAAACCCATTAGTATGTACAATTAATGTATATTAGACTAATATGTATAATTAATATATGTTAAACTATTGTGTATAATTAAATATATGATGCTGTACTATAGCAGTGCCGTTCAATCCTTGAACTCCTGAGCTATACACTAAAAGCCTGTAAAATGACACGTTACCTGAGAAAAAGGAATCTTGCCCTACATTTAAAGATCAACAAGTGAACTACTTTTTAATAGTTGATTCAGAATCAGATAACACCACATGATGAGCTGAGCTGGACACGTGAGGTTGGCGGGGGTATTTAAAAAAAGTAAGGACAAAAAGGAAAAACAAAAATACAGAGCAAAAAGCTTATTAGTTATTTCAATGCTACTTTTTTGGTCAATGTTAGAGCAAATTGAATTTCTAAATATGCTGGTTAAGACTGATCTGCTTATGATCCAGCTATTATTTCTCATTCCCTTTTGACTTCTTAGAATGTCAGGTAAGTAAATTAGAGAGAGGTACCACTCAACTGTCACATGAGTGAATTTCACATCAGGTTGGTCTGTTGAACCTTGATCAGAAGGTCGGTCCAAACCAATAGCTTGCTATAAAAAAATGCATATTTACTAGGCTGAAGAATGATTTGTCATAAGCATTAGCTTCAAATGATCTACATCATGGAAACCAGCTAGCCATTGAACTGATCAAGGGGTTCCCAATGGAGGAGTTAGAGTGAAGACTGAAGGAGCTGAAAGGGTTTGCGACCCCATGAGGAGAGCAATAATACCAACCAGCCAGAACCCCCAGGGTCTAAACCACCAGCCTAGGAGCACATAGGGAGGGACCCATGGCTCCAGCTGCTTATGTAAGGAAGGATGGTCCTGTCAGGTATAGGTGAGAGAGGAGATCCTTGGTCCCATGAAAGCTGGACACCGTGTAGGGGAATTTGAGGGTGGGGTGGTGGGGGCACATCCTCATAGAAGCAGGAGGAGGGGGGATGTGATAGGGGGTTCCTGGGCGGAAGGGGGGAAATGAGGTAAGGAAATAACATCTGAAATGTAAATAAAATATCCAATAAAAAAGAAAGAAAGAAAGAAAACAAAAACAGAAATGCCAAAGTTGTCAAGACATTTGTACTCAATGGCAAGAGTTTTGACTTGTCTTAAC